TCCGGGAAAAACTTATGCGGGCTCGTAAGCGGGTACCACTGTCGCATTTAATGCAAATATATTTTCTGCAATATAGCAGAATTTTGTATTGGTATCCTCAAAAATGCAAAAAAGAAATAGACGTACATCAACATCACATTCTGCCAGGTTGATGATTAGCTGGAGGTGATGCTGAGTGGTGAAGAAAAGATCGAGATCAGCAACTGTTGTATTCTCCGCACAGATAATTCGGATTGCCAGACCGGGCCCTAAAACAACACCGACTACAGAGTTCTGTGCTTCAAAATGAGAGAGAAAAACCAAAGCAATGAAATAGCGCCCCAAAGTTAACACGAAAAAAAAAAAGTAATATTATCGTTAAAAAAACAGGAAAGACAAAAAAGCGCTAAGAAGGAGATGAAAGACCCATAACAGACCTGGGAACGGATGCCGATTAACGATACTTTTTGGTAAGCCCAAGGCCAGTCCCAATTCACGAACTTCATCCTTGTGAAAATCTTTTAGTGGTTCGATCACTTTACCCTGAAAATTAACTATTAATCAGTTAATAAGTTTATTCAATTCTATTAAACGTATTAATTCACAGTCAAAAAGAATTGTTTTCGGATCTGCGAAGAGCACGCTGCCTTCAGTAACAAGCTAATTTGAGGAACCGCCGTGCTGAGCTGCAATAACATCAGTCACCCGTGATAGCTTTCAATGAACTCAGGCACTATAATGTCTTGGGTCAGATTAGTGGTGTTTTGCTGATCACTTATATCCATCTCGATAGATTCAGGGCCCCGTAAAACTGTACTGAAAATGAACAGTGAAAGAAGCAGAGAATACGAAATGTTGATAAGTACACAAAACTACTAAATAGTACAAAGGAAAGAAAAAGATGGGGCACTGAGAATTTAAGCGCTGAGATCGAATTTGGGAAGTTCACAGTCAGAGCTGGGAAAAGATGCAGCTACCCTATTTCTGAAGCCAAAACATAAAAAAATACTTTAAGGTAAAG